CACCTTTACATAGGTTAATTTCATGTTTATTTATAGCATTGCATTGCATATTTAGTGTAGTTTTCATACATTTTCCATTTAAGGGTATTATCAAGGATCTTTCGATATTTCACCATTTTCTATGGATGTTAGTCCCAAACTATGGATCCAAATTAGTAATCAATGAGATAATAACAATCAAAGTAGAGTGTAGAAGGAGTAGAAGAGGAATAACATCAAGCAGGCACACATCTATTACTCATAAATGTCAGGTACACCTTGAAAAGTACATACACACATCACTATTCATTCCTTCTTACTGAAAGACAGACAGCACTTTAAATACTACCCACTCCAGCACACATGAGTGCAACTTCATACACATGTGCGGCCGCACACTGTGTGTACGGCCGCACACACATGTGTAGCTGCACCTGCACACATACACAGTCTAATCCAATGCACCACTACACTACATACACTATCAACCTACCAAGATTTATACAAAAAGAATGCCTAGCCCAAACCACAAAAGTATAGTCTTTCAATCTCCCCCTTGGTTTGAGGCTAGCATAGGCTTGGTCTTCAACTTGTGAGCTTTTCAAACAGCTTCAAATCGGACTTTCCCATGGAGCCCATCCAAAGTCTTCCATTTATGATGGTGACGACCATCCCAATATATTCTTTGGCAGCAGCCTGCATGACATCCTTTCGAACTATGATTTGGTGATGAGACAGAGTACGGATATCTCTTTCTCTAAATCTCAGAATATCCTTAGCACTTATTAGCCTTAAAACTTGTTCTCGATCCTTGAATTTTATGGCAGCAGTGGCAGTTTCATCATCGTACGCCTAGAATTCCATATTATCAACATATCCCTCACGAAAGTGTTAAGGGATAGGAATTTCCTTTTGCTGTTTCGTTGCTGTCTATATGATAATCTTCATAGGCTCACCTGATTCAGGATCCATAATTTCCTTATCTTTTCTGTATAAGGCTCTTGCAGTTTTCATTCTTGGGAAGTTGTCCTTGACCTACCTGTCAAGAAATCTTTTGAAGTTTGTCGTGCTTGGATCTTCTGAAGGATTACGGAATGGGGCTCTTGAAAGTTCAGCAAGATCCACTTTAGTCCACGAGTTAAAATCATGAACACTTTTGTAATACTCAGAGACACTAGAATTCCTCTTTACAACCCACGTGTTCGATTCAGGATCAAAAGTCCACATTCGGATTCTGGATCGATCTCCATACGCATCACCAAACTTTCTCTTTTTGAGATCCGTTATAGTTAGCACAGGATCTTTGGCTTTGCGATTCTCATTTGATTTTTTCATAAAGAGTAATCCTTCGCTCTTGCTAGCTGTAACAGTCCTCTTCCCTTGTTTGATTGTAATGCGGGCTCTGCTGCCTTCAGGTTCCTTTTCAAATTTATTAACAATGGTAGTTGTTCTAGGAGGAGGTGGATCAACTGGAAGGTCGCCATGAGTAGATTGTGTGGGTGCCATGGGAGGATCCTCAATTCCGTGTGGCGGCTGAAACAAAGCTTTAACTTTTATCACCGAAGGCATCATACAGAACGTTCTTCAAATTGAAGTAGAAAGTTGTCACAGAGCCAAGATTTTTCTGCAGATCCTTAATCTGTTTTATCTTCACTTCATCTCTTTCTTTAAGCACTTCTATATAAGAAGCGTGTTGTTCCAGTAGAATGTTTTTTTCAATAACTCCCTACCTGAGAATACCAATCTCTTCCCGAAATTCTGATAATGTAGACTTGTCATCACCTGAATGCTCTTCCTTGAAAAATATGCCTTTACCCCGAGAGGAAGAGGTTGGATTGTTTTGTGCAAGGTGCTTGGCCAATCTGATTGAGGCTTCATCCAGTGAGGGTCGTGTAGGAGAATACCTTAGAATAGAGGATGAACCACCTGCATCAAATATTGTGCTTGGGCCTTCTTCTGACTGTAGTGGTGGAATAGAGACTGTAGTAATGGTAGTAATGACAGTAGTGGTGGTAGAAAGTGGTTAAGACTAGTGGTGCTTGGCTTACAGAGGGCACTCCCAGTTTTAATCTGATCGACTTCCTTTCAAAGAGGACTGGGAGGTTTGTTGTTGTGTTGATTCACTCAAAAGCGGAGCAGAAGTAGAGACAGTTGAATCAGAGGGAGGAATCTTTGAAATCACATCTATTTGACCTGAAGAGACCTCCATAGACTTGGAAGAGGAGAGCAAAATTTTGAGAGCATTAACTTCTTCCCCAGTCTTGGTTGTTGGTTGAGCAACTTCATTGACATTTTCAAAGCACCGGCTGTCAAACCCCGGAAATGGACCTAATTCATCATCATCAAGATTTAGTTCAATGCTTGAAGGGAGATCATCACTGATCCCAGTAGGAGGAAATGATCCTTCATACCCCATGTGGTCCAGAACTTCTTGAGTTTGATACAAGTCAATTTCCATAGAATACTTAGCCCTATCATTGATTTGAAGTGATTCCCGAATAACACTTTCTGATATCAGAATCTTCTTTCCTTGTATATTTGCTTCAAGATACTTTTCTTCCTTGTCATCTTCCATGACAATTGCACTTCTCCAAAAGTCTTTGATCAAATTCTGATAAATCACCGGACTAGTCGTCAAAGCATGAACCAGACAACATTTCTTAAGACTATCAACAATGAATTTTAGATTGTTGTGAGCAGCTAGAGGATTTTCAAGAAAGATTGTTGAGTTGTGCACCTTTGAAAATTCAAGTTCTCCCATGTTAATCTGAAAAACAAACAAGCATACATTAGGACAAAAGTTTTCAATTTTGGGTATACAACCAAAATTATCCAACTGTTCAATTTAGGGGGGTTGAGAAGTAGAAGGTTGCATATGCTGTGTACCAGGTCGGATTGTTAATCACACGAAGGAAATAACATATGGCTAACAGATAAGAAGATTTTCATAGATATAATATGCAGAGAAATAGATTTGCATATGTTTAAGTCCAGGTCGGATCTCTTCCAATCACGTAAAGGAGGCAACATATGACTAATAATAAGAAAGAAAGAAAACAATTTTCTATAGACCTACTTTATCGGAATACCCCAGTCGCTCCATCAATACCGGAATTAAGGACAGAATTCGTACATCGAGGAAAAGTAAAACCACAGTTCTAGATACGAGTTCTTTAGTGTGACTGGTGGATTCTCATGTATATCTCCCTACTCAACCTATCCGAGCGTCGTATTGTCAGGCTAAACAGATCTATCTAGGTCAAGAATTGTCAAATCATTTGATTTCTTAGGTTTATCTTTGCCTAGTCAAGTCCATTAAAATTTTCATGCCTACCAGCGCATCGAACACAGAGCCTAGACAATTCAGCTTTGGTACTTTACACAGATCCAAATTTCATGTTATCACTTGTTGATATCACTTCCCTTTACATATCATTGATCACAAATAAATTTTTTTATTTTTCTATTTTTCTAATGTTTTTGGATTTTCTGATTTTCAATTGTTTTTGGATTTTTTGATTTTCTATTGTTTTTGGATTTTGGTTTTCTATTGTTTTTGGATTTTTTGGTTATTTCTCCCCCTAAATTTGTGCATAGAAGAGAATAAAAAAAATGCGCAAATTTAAACTAAACTAAACTAAACAAAAAAATTAATCCTCAAAGTGAATCATTTTCAAAAAGTTAACCAGCACATCGAATCGAGCATTGTTAAATGGCTTGGTGAACAGATCTGCTACATTATTATCAGAGCGAACCTGTTCTAGCCGAATGAGCAAGCGCTCATAACATTCTTTGATGAAATGAATTTTGATGTGGATGTCCTTGGTTTTTGAGTGCTGAACCGGATTTTTGGCAATTTGGATCGCACCCTCATTATCACAGAATATAGGGGTTTTCATGTAAATTCAAATTGTAGTCCAACAGCTGATGTTGGATCCATATAACTTGAGAACAACAGGCAGACGCAGCGACATACTCCGCTTTTGATGTTGAGGTAGAGACGGTATGCTACTTCTTGCATTGCCATGAGACCAGTCTATCTCCCAGAAATTGGCATCCTCCTAAAGTCGATTTTCTATCAAGATCGCACTTGCCATAGTTGTTGTGTATAAAATCATAAAGGTCAAATTTTGGATTTTTCGGATACCAAAGACCCAGTTTTGGGCAACCTTTGAGGTACCGAAAAATTCGTTTAACAGCAATTAGATGAGAAAGTTTAGGGTTAGCCGGGTAGCGAGCACATTGACAGACCGCAAACATTACGTCTGGGCGACTAGCAGTCAGATACATGAGCGATCCAATCATTGATCAATAGTACGTCTGATCTACAAATTCGCCTTCAAGATCAGGAGCTAGTAAAGGTCTCTCCGCCATGGGTGTAAGAGCAAGTTACTCATCTTGGAACCCGAACTTCTCCAGCACATCATCCACATACTTTGCTTGGTGAATAAGGATCCCGGTTGAAGACTGTTGGACCTGAAGCCCCAAAAACGTGGTCATTTCCCCAAGCGAACTCATCCCGAACCGCTTCTTCATTACGTCTTCGAACTCATTGCAAAGTTGTTGGCTTGTCGACCCGAAAATAATGTCGTCCACATAGATTTGAATAAGAATTTGATCTGAAACGACATGTTTGATAAATAAGGTCTGATCAATGGTGCCACGGAAATAGCCGTGATTGAGCAAATGTTGAGTAAGAGTAGCATACCAAGCTCTAGGAGCTTGATGCAGCCCATACAAAGCTTTGTCTAACTTGTAAACATGGTTGGGAAGCTTTGAGTTAACAAAATCGGGAGGTTGGTCAGCATAAATCTCCTCCTTGACCTTTCCATACAAGAAATCCATCTTGACGTCCATTTGGTATACAGTAAAGTTCATATAGGAAGCATATGTGAGGAAGATACAAATAGCCTCCAAGTGCACCACCGGATCATAAACCTCCGTATAATAAAGACCCTCAATTTGCCAAAACCCGCAAACCACTAATCTCGCCTTGTTACGAACAATGACACTCGAGTCGTATTGCTTGTTCCGAAAGACCCATCTGGTATCAAGAGATTTATTTCCTTTTGTCAGCTCCACCAACTTGCAGACCCCGAGCTTCTCGATTCTATTAAGTTCATCATGCATAGCATCAACCCAGCTGGGCTCATTAAGAGACATTTCAACATTCTTGGGCTCTATCTGAGAAATAAAGCAAGAGTAGAGGCACGTATTAACGTCGCCACTCTGACTTCTCATTTGAACACCTTCACCTAGCAGGCCAACGATGTTCTCTATAGGATGGTCGTGTTGAATGGGTGCATGGATCTCGTGGCTGATGTCATTGATAGATACTGGAAGATTATAGATGTTAACCGCTCGGTCATTTTCTAGATGATCCACGGTAGATAAACTAGGTTTGTTTGAAGTTACAAACGGAAGTCTCTTGGTTCATGAACTCTCTTTCCATCGGAGTTAGAGGAGTAGCAATAGCATTAGGAGAAAGTTGTTGAGGGGAGGACTCAGAATAATCATCTTGAATAGAGGACACCGTTGGAAGATCAGAAGAAACCAGTGGTGGTTTGTAGACAACTTCCTCCTCCTCGTCTTCAATAATGATATTCGAACTAGACGTAGACTTCCCTTGATTATCCAACGACACATTGAAGGATTCGAAAAGTGATGTGCAATCAAACAACCAATCTGGACCCACTCTAGCGTCTATCTCATTCTCTTCAAGCCAAAAAACATTGAAAGACTCCATAATCTGTTTTGTCTTCTTGTTATAAACCCTTTATGTAGTACGAGCGGCCTATCCAACAAAATAATAGTCATCGGTTTTTGCATTGAAATTGGGGTTGGATTCCAAGTGGAGAAGGGTGCAAGGGCAGCCAAATACTCTGAAATGGATGACAGATGGCTTGTGACCATATAGAATTTCATACGGTGTTTTCATTTTGGCTTTGTTGATCAGCACGCGATTCTGAACGTAGCACGCCACATTAATCGCCTTCGCCCAAAAGAACACAGGAAGTTTGGAGTCACAAAGCATCTTCCTTGAGACATCTTTAAGAGTTCAATTCCTCCGTTCGGCAACACCATTTTGTTGTGGTGTGCAAACAGAACTGAATTGACGCACAATCCCTTTCTCAGTGCAAAAGTGGTCTAGAATAGCATTCTTGAACTCTGTTCCATTATCAGTACGCAACGCTTTCACTCGGTTGTTGGTCTGATTCTCTATCATTACAATGAAATTCTTGATGAGGTCAGCGATCCCAACTTTTTTGGATAGAAAGAAAACCCAAGTGAACCGAGAGTAGTCGTCTATCACAACGAGGCAGTATGAATTGCGATTGATGCTGAGAATGTTAATCGAACCAAATAAATCCATATGTAACAACTTGAGCACTTGACTAATGGAGTTGATCTGCTTTGGAAAGTGTGGTTTCCGATGATGTTTTCCTTGAGCACATGAAACACATTTTTCAAAAGTAATGAAATCTCTAACAGGTAAACCTCAGACCAGTTTGTTCTTTGCAAGCCGATTCAGGTTCTTTGCATTAGCGTGACCGAGACGACGATGCCACAACATCGCATTTTCTTTTGAGACTTTGGAGAATAGGCAAGTGACTTCTTCGGGGATATTGATGTTCATGTTTATGATGTAGGCATTCCCATCCCGCTTAGATTTTACAAGAATCCACTCCTCCGGAATGACAATGCCTGGCTTTAAGATCAGACATTCTTTATCTGTGAAATGAGTTAAATAGCCCTTGTCGCAGATCTGGGACACACTCAACAAGCTATGTTTTAATTCATGGGCATAGTTAACATTCTCAAAATTTAGCACTCCATTTGAAACTTCTCCCTTTTGAGTTATCTTTCAGCCTTCTCCGCCCGCAAAAGAGACATATCCCCCATTAAATGTCTGAATGTCGTGCAATTGGGATATATCTCCAGTCATGTACCGGGAGCAGCCGTTGTTGACATACCAGGGTCTGACGACATTCCCTCGCAATTGTCCCTGCACGATGAGCGGAATCATTTAGAGTTGGGGACCTAGGTCATCACAGTCCTGGGTTGACCCTTCACTTTCACAGATTTTTCATTTGATTCTTTCCCTTCATTAGATTTAGAGGTAAATGGTGACTGATCTGAATTCAATTTTGGTATCCACTGAAAGTTAAGTTTTGAAAATTTGTTAGTTTGCTTCGAGCCGGTGGATTTTCTAATCGAATAATTTGAAGATCTGGTCCTGCTCTTTGACAAAATCGACTTAGGCCTAGCCTAAGTTGATTTTGGCAAACTATTGTTGAATTTGTGGAAAACCTGTTTATTCTTTTGAAAATTGGCCATTTTCTTGTTTGGATTTGTGTTCAAGTCACCATTTCGAGAACGAGTTCTGGGGGATTTTCTATTTAAAGATCGTCTCCGAAATTCATTCTCTCCTCTTTTTGATGTGTGAGATACAAACATTCGGTTCAAACAGTTTCTTGCAATGTGTCCAGCAGTGCCACAGTTAAAACATATTTGTTTATTATCAATGGTTTTGGCACTGTTATTGACAGATTTCTTTCTTTTATTTTTATTTCTAACACTTTCACATTTGCAAGAATAATCATAGGATTTTGAAGCAGATATGGAAGGTGTAGAAACATTTGAATCAGACAAAGATAAATTAGCAGACAAGACATTATCAGTTGCAATCTTATCATCAAAGAAAACAATACCACCAGACACAAAATTTTCTAAATTCGAATTTAATGTAGACTCATTACA